ATTGGATAACACTCTCACTTTCCTTACCACGAACGGCCCCTATCAATTTGGCAAGCTTGCCTTTAGGGTTTCTTTATGTTTTATCTGCTCCAGTTTCACACGGTTCGGGCTTCAAATACTCTCAAAATGTCCAAATCTGTTCTTATTTCCCTCAAGTGTCCCTATATCTTTAACATTGTTTCATTGCTTCATGGCCAAACTAACTTTTAAAACCAGGCTGAGAATTATGCGTGCATGTCATGTCACTAGAACCAACATGAAAAGAATTGTAAAGAGGAGAAAAGAACTAAACAAAATGACTAGAAATGGCAGAAAACAGAGAATTGCATTAGACAGGCGGTGAAAGGGTTTAAACAACAAAACAAGCTACATAAACTGGGGTACAATCCTAAAACAAACCTAGATAACACTGAATGAGATATTACGACTAAAGGAACTGGACATAATGAAAGGATAGAAGGGTTTGAGTCACAAGACAATGTCCGGATTACAACCCTGAAATAACCCGGACAACAGAAATGACAACAACCTAAGCCACCAAAGCTCCTCTCCGGCTGACCAAGAAATGGAGCGTCTTTCCAATTACCAAGCACGGTATCTTAGCCACTGAATTCTGTATCAACAATACTAGGAACTTCACAAGTCTTCATCACATCGTTCTTAACAAGTTGCTTTTGGGCTCCTTTTGCTGGCTCGTTCTTAAGATCAACCTCTGGTAGCGCTGAAAGCTTAGCGGCATGTGGGCCTCCGAAGCTCCCAGAAGAATTCTCACATTCCTTTTCAAAATAAGTCATACCCACCCTGCGCGTCTCATTATGCACAAGCGACGAACTTTGGATGGTGTCTGCTGCATCTAGATTTTGCATGACAATGTCGCCTGCATCGATAAGCTGCCTTTTTCAGATTCCAACACTTTTCTATGTCATGCCCCGGGGCGGCTGAGCAATATGCGCACCTTTGAGAAAAATCAAACTTCTTTGACTGAGGGTTAGGCATTTTTATCTGAATCGGCTTCAACATGTCCAATTGCCTCAACCTTTGGAACAGACTGGCATATGATTCTCCAATAGGGGTGAGAGCCTTTTCTCTTTTCAGCAGCCTCTCGTTCTTAAATGCCTGATTGGGCCGGAAGCCTGATCCAGGGGGTTTTCGGTACGCTCGTGGGGGTAGATAGACATTTTACCGGGCAGCTGTGATAAGCGGGTAAGTATGGAGAGGGTGGAGGATCGCCTGGCGTTGTGTCCGGAGTTTGGGTAAGGACAGCGTCTAGGAAGCTGGGTGGTGGCGGGGGTGGTGCCTTCCCAGTCATCCATGCCCGATACATGTCTTCCACGTGTTGTCTCAACATCTTTACCTCTTCTACCAACCCATTGTCCTGTTCAACCAGTTGCTTTCGGGCACCGGTATCAACCTACTCAGTTCTGTTGTTCTCTGCCATTGCCTTTTGCCTTTGTGTTAAAGGGAAGAGTTACTTTAAAAACCACAAACCAACCACCTGTCTGAAATGATATGACAAAATGAAACCATCACGTTAGCGTTAGGGCATTTATCATATTGGTACCCACACATTTGGGGAATGAATGCACCTAAGCAGTTAACAGTTCCTATTATGCTTTTGATCGGTCACTTGCATCATCCCGACCTTTCTTTTATTCCCCTATGCAACTTTTCTCTCTCTTTTTCCTTCTTTTCTCCTTTTCACTCTTGCCTTGGTTTTTCTTGTTCCTATTCTCTCCTTTCCTCAAATTTCTTTCATTCTCTCGCTTTTCTTTCATTGTTTTTCCGCTCTTTTCTTTCCCTTTCTCTCTTGCTCTCTTTTCATTCTCTCTCTTCTTCTTCTTCTTCTTTTTTTTTTTCTTTTTCTTTTGATTACGGTCGAATCCTATGGAGATTGCCTATGTATCATGACCCCCGCATGAATCAGACCAAGCGTAGTTCTTGCAGATAAAAGGTAATAAAATATTTTTTGGAATTTTCAATTATCCATAACAAAACAACTTTTGATTACAAAAAATTCAAAAACCAACAGACCTAAACAAGAACTAACAAACTCCGATGAAAGACGAACTACAGACTCGAAGAACAACTAACCCACATAAAAAGAAAATACAGACTCCGAGACAAACTGACAGACTCCAAAGGGATCTTGTTCCTAACTGTTATTGGCACATTTGGGCTCGTGCTCATTCTGCACATTTATTAAGGTGATTAAGCAAAAAAAAAAATCAAGACTCATTTGACTCAAAACCAAAGTTGACACTTTTCTTTTTTCCAAATTAAGAACAAAGACCCGATTTTGCGCATACGGCCTTTCAGCACCTCGGGGACGAAGATTTTAAGGCTGTGTTGGCTGACCGGCCAAAACCTCGAAAAATGACCAAAGGTGGATGTTCTCGCAAAAGCAGCCTTCCGGCGCCCTTTTAGGGACATTCGGCTATTTTTGGCAAGAATGGCATCACCTTAATTATTTACAATAAAAACAAAATTTTGTTCATTTTGGGTTATTTTTGCAAAAAAGAAGTTGGACCCGATGAGGGTTGCCTACGTATCCCACACCCTATGGGAATCAAACTGGCGTAGTTCGGTCAAACAAAACAAACTATTTTTGAAAACAAACCTCTCTTTTTTTTTCTTTTTCATTGGTAGATAAAACAAACAATTTTTGAAAACAAGACTCTTTTTTCTTTTTCATTTCATTGATAAATAAACAAACTACTTTTGAAAAACAAGACTCTTTTTTTCTTTTTTCTTTTCATTGATAAATAAACGAACTATTTTGAAAAACAAAACTTTCTTTTCTTTTTTCTTTTTCTTTTCATTGATAAGTAAACAAACTATTTTTGAAAAATAACTCTTTTTTTTTCTTTTTTTTTTTTAAAAAATTCGGCAGAGTTTCGACACTATTTGGTTTTGTTTTGTTTTTCCAACACAGGCAATTAACTCTCTTGAACTCTATCCAACTATTCTTCTCAACTTTTCCCCAGATTTCAAAAGTCGGTCAGCATGCAAGTCCGAAGCAAATAAATTCACAAGTAGTAGGATGCATCAGGATGGTCTGTTTTCATTTCGGGTCACCTGTCCTAGACGGACCCAACCCCTGTATTGAGTCCCCTAAGTCAATTGCACGTGATGCAAACAAACGTTCCTACTAGGGATCCGACATGAGGCTGAGTTATTCTAGGTTCAAAACCTGGGTATTTGTTCTAGACTGTGTACCCAAGCGGACAACTCGAGTCGAGGAGGGGACTACGTACCGGGGACCCGAAAGATCATCCGGCTTAGTAACTTGTCCGAGCCTCTTTCTTATTTCAAGGTATGACACTAACAGAATAGGGAGTCTCGACCAGCGAGCACATCCCGAAGATAAGAAGAGAGGGGTTTCGTAACAGTTTTATATATACCATTCAAATAATATCAAAGTGGTAAAAAGCAACATTTTGCACATTAATCCCAAACATGTAATAAAATCAGATATTAAATAAAGCCAAATACAACAATTATTACAAGCTCGAATTCTCGAACCCTGAACCGAAATTCTGGGTTCTTGTCCCCAGAAGGGTCGCCAGAGCTGTCACACCTCCTTTTTACTACTACACCCCTGGAAGAGATGTAATAAAGGGAGTTATTTCCAACTTGAAGTGACAATCGAAATGGGATTATTATTAAAGATTCAGAGTCGCCACTTGGGAGATTTATGGTGTCCCAAGTCACCGGTTTAGAATCCCGAATCGAGGAAAAGAATGACTCTGTTTAACAGTCCGCGAACCAGAAATCCGAGTAAGGAATTCTGTTAACCCGGGAGAAGGTGTTAGGCATTCCCAGGTTCCGTGGTTCTAGCACGATCGCTCAACTGTCATATCTGGCTTAATTATCTGATTTTATACAATTATGAACCTATGTGCAAATTTTAACTTTTTAACCGCTTTTATTCATATTTTTAAAGAAGATTGCAACGTCGTTAAAACACGTCTCGAACCACGTCACATAAATGCACCCGTGATTTTTGACATATTTTAACTTCGTTGGGATTTGGATTTGGGTCACATAAATGTGCACCCGAATTTAGGAAAGTAATATTATTAAACACGCGGCTAAAGCAACTACGCGTTTGCACTTTGCGAGGGCCATGGAATTTGCTAGATGGCACGCCTCGGAATCTAAGGATCAATTCAACATTAATTAAATAAGGACCACGCATTTGTCATTTTTTGGCATGGCGCACCCCAGTTCTAATGTAAAGGGCATGGCTAATTAACAAGAAACGGATGGGAGTTCCTACCTATGTTATGCTAACTCACGCTAATAATTTAATAAACATCGAACTAGCAACAACCTACTCCTATTAGATTATGAAATGGATGAGCTGATCGAAACTACATTTGGGATGCCCATTACAACTGGCTTGACATGCAAAATAACTGGGCTCCAAGTGAAGCCCAGCTTGGCAGCCTGACTGCGGAGGAGAATATATTTGTATCTGGGCCAACAATGATAAACCAACATATGATTCAACAGGTATATTTGATACCAATTATTACTCAAGAAAGCTGGAATTGGACAAACACTAATCACCCTTAAACTCAATATAAAACACATTTTAAAATGGGTGCATGTATTCTACGGCGAAGCATAATTTTCAGCCACACAAATTAACCATCACCCAAGGTCAAAATTTAACAATTGCAAATTCATAGGCATGTGATTCGCATTGGCCTGTTTAACAGGACTTGACTGATTCTACTCTTTCAAACAAAAACAAAGACTACGTATGATGAACTAATTTGAATCTGAAGATTTCCAAAATTAAAATAGGTCTTAGACTCATCAGAGATTCTCTTCAAAACACAAGAGTAGAATATGAAAATAACTGCTGAACTGTATAGTAAATGCATATATCTGCTACAACAAATTCCTAGTCATATGGGAGCAAACTTGGATACAAACAGTGGGACTAGAGCCTATACCAATTTGTTAGAACAAATGGTCCGAATTGATACACATTCAAAGCAGTGCCATGATAAATCATATTCCGGAATCGATCAGTTTTAACCAATTAGACCAAGAAAGTTCACGGTCCCTGGTTAGTACCTCATATAATGTCTAAAACAGCTTTGTATTCTACCAAATTCAGACCAATCCTTAGGACAAAATGTTCACAAAAGACAAACTAAAACCAGATAATAGCATGACAAAATTAATCACAAACTAAGATTGGTATTTCATTAGACTTCAATTGATCACAGATCTTTATTCAAGTCCTAATCCGGCTTCATTTCTGCCATAGTTCAAGAGGATACCTGGAATTCGAAAGTGAAACAGAAGAAATGAGGGTCAGCAGCAGAATCAGTAGCAGGAACAGGAACCAGCAACACAATCAGCCCAGATATGATTGAGAAAAAACCAGCATAAAACCCAAATTGACCCAGCAATCGAAATTTGGACCAGAGATGAACAAAACCCTTAGACACCAACTGATTCAAACCATTTTAAGCTTCAATTGCTCAGAATTCAACACAGAAAAGATATCACAGGAGTTTCTCAAAGTTTTCTTTCAATAAAACAGTAGAAAATTTTATCTCTTTAGTCGCCTAAGCCTTCAGGGATTTTTTTTGCTCTCTAATCCTTCTAAAAATAGTAAACTTATGCAGCTTTTTTTTTTTGGATTTTTCAGCTCCTATCTCTCTCAGATTTTTCAGAATGTTCAAGGCTGCATTTCAAGGCAAGAAAGCATGCCTTTATAGGCAAGGAAATAGGGCAGCCTTAGGTTTCATTTTTACACCCTACCCCATTTTAACTTTTTTTTTTTTTTTTTGCTTAGCTATCCCTAGGTTTCTGACTTTCTACCCAAGTTACCCATCAAAAGACCTGAAATATCCTAGAACCCCTCCCTAGAAGCTTCCATTTCTGTTATGAAAGATTCCCTCCTACTTAAACTACCTAAATTACCCCCAGCCCAATCAGTTATTACAGGCTTTAACTATCCCTTTGAGACCCCTATAGTTTTCAGGCTAGCAATTGACTCCCCTAAGGTCCTCTAAAATGTCACAAACAAACCTAATCAAATACTAAGAGTTTCAGACGGATCAAGATGGAATTCTTCAACAAAAATGCAAAAGAAGCTTCTGACAATTAAGACAAGCAATATGAATAACAAACAGCAATCTCAATATCACTTATGCAGATGGAGACTCGATTACAAGCTTGTCGTGATTGAAACTAACTACCCGCCCTGATACAACCAAACAAAGAACAAAATCTATACAATTGACTTAACAGGACGAACATGACTTAATTCGAAACTAAAAATTAACATGAAACTGAATTAAAAAAGAGAGATGGGGAGGAGGATGAATTGATTAACACGGCGAAGGAATTCTTACTCAACTGAACCGCCTCACACCCCAGACTTGAAATTCCAACTTCATCCCCATTTACTTAGGGAGGGACAGATGAACAGCACTAGTTGATGAAGAAAACCAAGCGCAGATCGAGACAGAAACCCTACGACATCCATTCAGGGTTTGGACCTTGGGACTCCAGATTTGAAATCCGAACGGTTTTGGAGGCCTTTGAGGGGATTTGAATGTGGATTTTGGATGGGGGAAACAGATTGACCACAGGGTGTAAGTGTGGAGTGATTTGGTGGTTGCGTCGCCACCGGAGGAACTGTGGCGGCGCTAGGGTTTGCAGATTCTGAGTGAGATTCGAGAGATTTGGGCGTGATTCGAGGGAAAAGGGGCGTGGAATCGGAATGAGGATAAAGAGAGGGAGTTAGAGTGTAGATTTGGTGGCCATTGGGGTAGTTTGGGTTATCGCCGCCGGCAGGCTTGTCGGAGCATACTAGGGCGGCTGAGCCTCTCTAGAGTTTTTTTTTTGGGGGGGGGGGGGGGCTGAGAGACGGGGACCAAGGGGGTGGGGGGTGGCCTTCGGGACACTCTTATACTAATTGATCCCGGCTTCCAAGCCGTTGGATCAAATTAACCTCGACGGTCAAGATTCATTCCAAGACAAACGGTGCCGTTTCATTTGGGAGAGGGTGGACCAGGTTGGGGGAAACTTGGGCTGTGGGTTTGGCCGGGTCTAGGGGGGGAAATTAGTTTGGGCTGGTTACAGGGTCTTGGGCCCAAACGGCCCCAAAGTTCCTGAATTATCTTCTCTTTTTCAATTATCTTTCTTTCCTCAAATCAAACTCTTTGTTGTCTTTCTTTTCTTTTTCTTCTTTTCTTTTATTTCAAAATTAAACTAAACCCTAAATTAATTCTAAAAACTAAATTAAACTACCAAATCACACTAATTAACTCTAACAATTATCACAAGCTAATCAAATATCAAATTAAGTGAAAACTAGCAAAATTCAAAGCTACAAATTGAACAATGCCAAGATAAACTATTTTTTGTATTTTTGTATTTTTTGTAAGACTCCTAATTACTAATTAATTCCAAAATATATAAAATTAACCCCTAAATGCAAAGTGCAACATATTTTTGTATTTTTCACTAGTTAAAATACTCGAACAAAAATGCAAACAATTAACAGAAAATGTCACAAAAATCCACGAAATTGCAAACATTGAAAGAAATCATTTTGTTTTGAAACTATGGGAGTAATTCATGTAGGGCAAAAATCACGTGCTCACACTGGTCACACGAACGCAACATTTACCATTGTGCCAAAGTCTCGCTTCACAGTGCGTATATATTACCGGAAAAAAGGTTATTACATACAAGATGAAACGCCTTTTATTTTATAAGAAACAGTCATAGTTAAACAGCCGCCAGTCATAAGCACACTAAACTGGAAAAGTAATGCAGTAGATCCAAGCATATTGATATTTACAAAGATTAAGGGCATGATGCATTTATTCTTGCCATCAACATCTAATAACCTCCTTGTATGTAGGCATTTAAATGGTTCAGCTCATCCCAATGCTCGCTTACAACAGCACGGACAACATACGACCTATTATACCAGTCTGATCACAACTGGAATGTGTCTGATGCCTTTATCTGGCAAGTGATATGTTGTGTCAGTAAAATAGAAAGAATTGAAACAAAGCTGAACTCAAATGATTCTAGAGACGGCTAATTTTATGACAAAACGTAGAAGAAATTAGTTATATTTTACTCCCATCGTATAGTGTCCACAAGATTCAATATGTTCGTAGAGAGCAAAATATCTTAAACAACAACTATGACAAAGCTACACACGCAGACATGATCATAGAACCATTCAAAATTCAAAACTCCAAAAGACAGTCAAGAAGAAGCTGATATATTTGAGAAATGGGTTGATACCTCTTTCTCCAATAATTCCAGCGATTAATTTAGTTTTCCCAAGGTTTCACAACCACCAAGGCTCCAACATTTTGATGTGTCATCTGCATCGAAGCAACCAATCTGTTATCTAAAAACTCCCTTCAGAAGCAATATTACATAAGCGTGCATATAAATACATAAATGTAAATTTACTATAGGCGTAACATCAATTGTGAGGTGCAAAGTCATTTTAGACAAAGCATGAAGATATTAGCAGACTGCATAGCATCATACACAGTACCATATGCAGCGCACCAGAGCCAAGAACCATCAGCTAACAGATTTCTAAGTTAGTTGACAGTGATGATACAGATTACAATCCTTTCGAATCCCAACGACAATTAGTCAAAGGACCTATGAACTTTCTGTTTTGATGAAAAGGTAAGAATATTACTAATAGCTACTAAGTAGGTACCAAAAAAGGAGTATAACAGAGAGATGATTATACTTCTATAAATTGGAGTACCAAAAAACCTAACTATGAGTCAATGTCAGATACAAGAATCTTCCTACACCATAGGTGCAGGTTTTTTAAGCATCTAAGTTTAACCTGCTCTATGTTGTTTCTCTTGTCATTAAAATATCTATCATTCCTCCCCACCCAAATAGACAAGAAAATGCAGAAATGAATAGCAGTCGAGTAGTGCCTGTTGTTCCTTGATGAAGACTGCTCGTAAGCTTAATGCATCCTGGCATGACCCGTTGGATACTAAAAATGGCAGGAAACATTCGATCTGTCTAGTGAAGGTGCAGTGAAGCAGTAGATGATTTACTGATTCATTGGCATGTTTCACACAGAAAGCATCTGCTGGACAAATCTAAACCTCTTTTTTGCAAGTTGTCGTGAGTTAAACAAGCTCCGTGGGTAGCGATCCAAGTGAAACAGCAACCTGATCATTGAGAGAGATAGCCTCCAATTTCAGAAGCAATTCATTAAAATCTTCAAATTCTTTGGCAATTTAAGGTTCTACGGAAGCGTCAATTCCCAATAAGCATCCCATATTCTTTGATCATATATAAACTTCAAAATTTGAATATGATGTTGACCGTATATCTAGAGTATATCCTATCAGGTTAGAACAAGTTTCTCATATTAAGAGTGTAATAACATTTGATCTACAATAAAGAAGACTAGGAAACAATCAAAGTAATAAAACTGATGTACCTCCTCAATAGGCCTGCTTGGAAAGCTCAAGCAATGTTCTAATTGCCTTTTTTTCTTTTTCAGATTATCTGATTGCATTGGATGCAATTTCTTTTGAGAGGAAAAAGGAAATTGATCATAGTGATAGTGTGGCAGAATAAACCAAGGGAAAGAAATATTCACTTCTTATTTTTCAAGTGAAGCTCTGGTATCATGTCAAGAACAGAAGGATTCTCCCTTATAACATTTACCAAAAACTCAGTTGTAGTTGCATCAAATGAGAATTTCCTTCCAGCCATTTCCTTCATAAAAGTTGCCATTTCGCTAATTCTGTTGCACCTGAGAAATCCTTGCGCAATAACATTGTAAGTGATACTGTTTGGCAAACAACCATCGTCCTCCATTTTTCTTAGCATATCTTTAGCTTCATCTAACAACCCTTCAAGACAAAGTCCATTTATCATTGTAGTGTATGTTCTCGCATTCGGAAGCAATCCAATAAAAGAAAGCTTCTCAAAAATAGCATGAGCTTTGTCAAGTTTTCTATTTTTGCACAATCCATTAATGACAACATTGTAAAATTCAATATTAGACTTTACTCTCTTTCTTTCCAACTCATTAAAGAGTGACATAGCTTCATCAACAAGTCCATACTTAAAATAACCATTGAGCAAAGTGCCATGAGTGCACAAATCAGGTACAAGCCCCACAGATAGCATCTCATCAAAGAACTTTTTTGCAGAGCCAATCCGTCCAACTTCAAACAGACCTTGCAAGATAGTATTGTACGTAACAATGTCAAGCTTTGATCCCTTTTGAGAAATTTCATGAAAAAATTGCATAGCCTCGGCCAACTTCTTTTTCTTACAGTATCCATTTATTAGTATTCTATAGCTAACAATGTTAGGCTCAATGCACTTATCTATCATTATATCAAAAATTCTCCTCGCTCTATTCATTTGACCACACAGACAACATCCACCCATTATCACATTGTAGGTGACTATATCAGGCTCTACACCTTTTTCGATCATGTGTCTCATTACTTTCTCAGCATCTTCGACTTTCCCTTCTTTGCATAGTCCATCAATCACTATGTTGAAGGTGTGCACATCTGGATAAATATTATGATCTACCATCTCGGAGAACAAAATCCTAACCTTTTCCCACTGACCAAACTTACACAAACCATCAATTAATGAATTATATGTGATTATGTTTGGAGGAATGCCTTTCTTCTTCAGTTCGTTCAAAAGGTTGATAGCAGTATCTAAGTTTCTATCTTTGCAAAGAGCATCTATAACAATGTTGTAGATGCATATGTCAGGCTTAGTGTTCCCTTGTTCCATTACCCGGAGCAAACTTAAATTTTTCTCAGTATGGCCCCTTTTGCTGAGCCCATTCATGACGGTTGCATACATGACTTCGTTAGGCTCACAAATACTCTCTCTCACCAACTTCTTGAACAAGTCAACTGCATATTTGACCTTATTTTCAGCAAAGAATCCCCTGATTAGGGTGGTAAAGGTGACATTATTGAATGGGATGCCATTCTTCAAGTAAATGGCTAACACCGAAAATGCACAATCAACACGATGCATCAGACAATAATTATTAATCACGATACTCAAGATGAATTCATTAAATGGGATACCCAATTTCTGCATTTGTACAAAAAGAGAAACGACAGCAGAGTAATGCTTCATATTTAGCATAGTCTTAAATAACTTAGAGAAATTGACAACAGAAGGAAGAGGCTTCGTTCTGACCATTTGATTAAAGAGAGTCATAGCATCATCTAAACACTTGACGTTCTCAAATTTGCTACTTACCCTAAGTTTAGCCTTTGCCGAAATGGATGCATTGCTATGAGATGAAGAATAAGCTCTGACTGTAAATGCCGAACCAGAATTGGAAGTATCAAAGGAAGAGATAAAAGGAATACCATTGGGACAAATTCTCCTCATCTTCTTCACTGAATTGCTGGAAAGTCTTCAGCGGGATGTGAAAATGGTGTGCCCTAATTTTTGTATGGTAAGTTGTTTTGGACATGATTCCGCTTATGTTTAACATGTTCAAACTTTTTTTTTTTTTAATTATATATTTTGCTTTAAATAAAATATGAAAGCTAATGTGTTTTCTTAAATTATTAACTTATGTTCTTTCAAATTTGTGAAAATAGCACGGACTAGCCAACTTTCGGACTGGTAATTAAAAAATAGCTAGCGTTTGCAATGTCATTGAAAAATAGCCACTATTTTGCTGCAACACGAAAAGTTCCAGCACAATATACAGGAGATTGGTGCACATGTGTATGAACTTCCACCATAATATGCTGGAACTCCAACACACGGAAAGTTCCAGCATAATATACTAGAGATTGAAGCACCTATGTATGAACTTCCAGCATATTATGTTGGACCAGTAGATTATGCTGGAAGTCCAGTATATTATACTTGAACTCAGTATATTATGGTGGAATATTTTCCGAATTTTGAAAAGTATTTTCGTTCAGATTTATTTTTACATAAAAAGTGGATAAATTTCGATTACTTTTGAAACTGTGGCTATTTTTCAATTATCACTTGTAAATCTCGCTATTTTTGAATTTAACATAATTTTTAGTATCCAAATTTAGTTTTGTGCATTTAAGTTTGGGTTAAAAATTGAGTAGCGGGTTACACTATTTTGACATGTTTTGGCCAAATAATTTGATGGGTCATTTTGAAATTAATTTGTTGGTCAAGTCAACAAACGCACCAAAGTTTAATTCTTTTTCATATTGTTTCACTCATCCATAACATAATCACGGAGTTCTAACTTCTATAAGTTGAAACTTCAGGATATTATCCTTGAGTTTAAGAAGGTATCATGAGTTAAACAATCTCGGAAAGATTAAGTTGCGGGGGGTACCCATTGAAGATAGATTTGCTTGTGTTATGTCCGGGAAATGAAACTTCTTCCGAGTTCCAGGGAATAAATATTAGATTGAAGCTCAGTCTTTTAATTCCTGTTTCAAAAATAGATAATTTTGTATCCAACTGTATAAAGGCGGGCGCAGATCTATGAATAGGGGACGTTGTACTAGCTATGGCGGAATTACTGATAGAAAACCCTAGAAGGGTCGAGAGAAGAGAAAGAAAGACGAGATGATATGTGGAAGAAATAAACCATCTGATTTTTATTATTTCACTAGAGGAGTATTTATATTTACAATAAAAATGGAAAAATACAACTAATACAGAATACAAGTAATTAGTAAAAGAGAAAGAAAGTGGGTTTGGTCACACTGTTGGGCCAGCTGTGCGTGTGACTGAGTTTTTATCCTGGGCTCCACCACCCCCCTCCCCCCAAGCTTGAGGGTGAAGAAACACCAAGCTTGCAAAGAATACCATAATGCAACTGACTGGGCAAGGCCTTAGTCATAATATCATCCAGTTGGCCTGCAGTGGAAACAAAACGTAAGCTAATAAGACCAGCAGTGATGTATTCACGCGCATAATGGCAATCAATCTCGATGTGTTTGATGCGCCTCATGGAAAACAGGGTTCTTGTCTATGTGGAGTGCGGCCTGACTGTCACCATAAACAGGAACAGGGCTGGAGATAGCCAAACCAAGATCACCTAGTAGCCTGACCAATCAAGCAACCTCTGCAGCCAATTTTCTCAAGGCCATATACTCAGCCTCAACTGAAGACAAGGAGATGGTAGGTTGTTTCTTACTTTTCCAAGACTCAGGACTGCCACCAAAAGTGATATAACACCCACTCACAGACTTGCGAGAGATTGCATAAGAGCCCCTATCAGAATCAGAAAACCCCACAAGAGACATATCATCATAACTAGAGAGCAAAATACCCTGAGCAGGGTCATGTAAGAGATGTCTGAGAACATGAATAACAACCATCATATGAGGGGCCTGGGGCTTCTGAAGAAACTGGCTGAGATGTTGGACAGAAAAAGAGATGTCAGAATCTACAACATAAGCAGTGAACAAACCTGCAAAATAAGCAAATCCAGAGTCCTCAACAGGGAAATTATCGGAACCAACACCAAGAAATAGTTGGACTTGTTGGAATAAAGTCATCAGGTGGTGGTATTGTTCCTTGGTGAAACCTGAGCAGAATTCTCAGTAGATGGTTGTGGACTGATTGGTTGGAATGTCATACTGGACACAAGAGGCTGATTTCTTGCCTTTGGTAAACTTGAAATCTGCAGGAAAACCATGCAGTCTGTAGCATTTCTCCACTGTGTGTCCAAGTTTCTTGCAATATTTGCAAGAAACAAGAGAGTTACTCTTCCTGGAATCAGAATTAATCCTTGGGATAAAGTTATTATTTGGAGCAGTTGAAGATGTAGAGAAAGAGGCAGACTCATTTGAGAAGTTTAGAATTGGGGTGTGAGTTTCTCTTTGGCTCTCATCTTGTTGTAAAAGAGAGTAAGCTTTGCTTATTGGTGGTAAGGGATTCATGATCATGATAGCACTCCTCATAGATGAGTAAGAGTCATTCAGCCCATCTAGAAATTGAAAAAGTTGTTGCTTTTCTATAAATTTGGGAGGGCTCCACAAGAACATATGGGACCTACATATGAGGAATTTAATTCATCCCAAAGACTCCTAAGTTTGGTTAAGTATGTGGCAATGTCAGATGACCCTTGGACATTTGAACTAATTTCTCTCTGAATTTGAAGGTATTTAGACCTATTTGATTGCCCAAATATTTCATTGATATTAGTCCAAACCTCCTTTGCAGTCCTAAAGCACATAACACTAGAAGCTATGTCTCTAGAAACAGAGTTGGTGATCCAAGACTTGACCATATCAGTACACAGTAAGAATAATAGGGATAGTTGATAGGAGGTTGAGAAATTCTGCCATCTAATACGACTAGTTTGTTTTTAGCAGAAAGAGAAGTAAGCATGATAATTCTCCATAGTACAACCCATGTCCATTGAATGAGACATGTAGTAGTTGGCTACCTGGATTGTCTGACGGGTGCACGTAGAAAGGGTGAGAAGGATCTAGTGTGAAGGGTGTGAAACCCTCAGGAGTGGAAACCAGAGGAGAGGTAAGGTTATCCACGTGACTACCCATATTATCACCCAACTAAAATCAACTAAGAGGAAACTACAGTATGTAATAAGCAATCAGGATTAAACTTGATACATGCAAAATGTTACAGACATGAATTCTCACACGATATAACCCTAAATCATATCAATATATAGACCTTAAAGGTATAGATTAGAGTGATAATACCGGTCTTCTTCTCAAAAACTCGAAGAAGTAAGGTCTCGTATACACACCCTAGCTTGAATTTACCCCCAAATCTGTCAAATCCATCACAAAACTAGAAATTTCTGGTGATGTAGACGATGTAGAGAGAGATACCAGCATAAGCCCCAAATTTTGGTCTAGATGTAGCAGATTCACTAGCACATCGAGCTTTAACCAAAAACTAATTCCAGCAAAATCTTCAACCGATTTAACGTTGAAAATGAAGCTCATGTCACGGGAGATCATAATCCTTGCTCTGATACCATATTAGATTGAAGCTCAGTGAGCTATGGCAGAATTACTGATAGAAAACCCTAGAAGGGTCGAGAGAAGAGGGAGAGAGAGAAAGAGAGAGAGAGAGAGAGAGAGAGAGAGAGAGAGAGAGACGATATGATATATGGAAGAAATAAACCATCTGATCTTTATTATTTCACTAAAGGAGTATTTATATTTACAGGAAAAAATGAAAAAATACAACTAATACAGAATTACAAGTAATTAGTAAAAGAGAAAGAAAGTGGGTCGGGTCACACTATTGGGCCAGCTGTGCGTGTGACTGAGTTTTTATCTTGGGCTCCAACAATAAAATCCTATTCTACCTCGGATAGTATCATTGTCTCTGCCAAAGGAACCTTTCTTCAGTGTTCGTAGAGTCGGATTTCCCATTTACCCACACCGAAGGAGCCGCCCCAACCAAATAGGTGGAGTTAAGACATAATCAAACCCGTACGAACAAAATGCTGAATTGAAACGCACCACTCTCTACTTGGGATTATTACTCATTTTTGTATTTGCTTTTTTATTTTTCATTAACTTCTTTGTTTACTCGCAAAACGCATAGTTAAATTTATACGTGGTTTATAGACAGGTGAATCGATTTGATCACGAAATGATAAACAAATCAAACAAAAATGTGAGACTTAGCGTTGAAATTGAGATAAGACAGCATAAATCCTGGTTCCGGGAGCAGAGCTTCTGGAGGCAGTAGTAACAATATTAATAAGCAAGAAGATAAAATGTTATTGAGCTTTGAACAGTATGTAGCATAAGCTTGTCGAAAAATTCCCCCTTTATAATGGTTGTTGAGCTTACTATTTATAGTTGTTCCTAGGGAACAAGGTCCTAGGATCAAGCCCCACTTAAATGATAATTATGGGGGCCATTGAAGAATGTGTAATGGTAGGCAATGAATGACATATTCTCTGTAACGGACTACGTACTTAATGCTAGAGAATATTCTCCATTAAATGCTACCGGGCGACATGCATTTATTTTGTCTTTATGAACAACATTCCCTTCGGGAACAAACGAGATTGCTGCCTTCAGACCTGATTGCCATTTGCCTCGCTTTCTATCTACCTTCGGCTCCACGTGTCGCTTTATTATGCGAACATTTAATATGAGCATATATTACCCTATGCAAATAGCCCCCTGCTTTTTGGTGACAGATCCTTGTGTCACTGGTGTCACGCCCCAAACCTGAAGAGGCGTGGCCGGCACCCGGTGCCATACTCAGCCCGAGCGTACCACTCTATAAATGTGATCTCTGGAGGGGTAACCCTCAACTTAGGACGATGTGGCCATATTCTAAATCATCTAAAAATAACGTCTACAACCAGCATTACCAAACTAAACATCTACATAGGGCTGGTAAAGCCACAATACTGATCTAAGAATGTACAGGACTCGTCAACAAGCCTCTAAGGGTAACTGAACCATGGTCGGGACAGGGCCTCAACCTACCCAA